AACACATTGTAAAATAAAGACGAGTGAAGGATGTGAGTATTTGATTTACCAAAGGATGATTTTATTTTTTCTTTTTAACTCTTTTAAATTTGTCTAAGAAAAATTTATGACTTGTGTGTTATATTAATAAAATAAAGATCAAAGAAGTACAAATAACTTAAATCATTTTATCTACAAAACGTATCATTCTTTATTTCTTGTCTTGTCAAATTCACTACTTCCAAATGAATGGACAGGTTCTTTATGAAACATTGAAACGAAAAGAAACAGAAAAAATTTGATATTTGAGGATGTAATTAGAAATTATTCAATGTATGAATATTGATATTGATATTAAATTTCTTAAAACAGTATTAAGAAGACTAATTGAATGTGACACACAAAGTTTCAATAAAGATGATTTTGAAATAATTAAATTATTAAAAGAAATTTGTGAAGGGATTGGGATGATTGTTGAAACTATACCCACAAAGAATAATCCAAATAAAATAAATTTTATAGCTTATTGGACGAAGCAACCACATAAAATCATTTTTAGCTCACACTTTGATACAGTCCCTGTTGGAGATTTGAAAGAGTGGAAATATCCACCCCTTAAAGCAACAGAAGAGATAGAATTAAAAACAGGGAATGTCTATGTTTATGGAAGAGGATCAGCTGATATGAAAAGTGGATTAGCTAGTCAATTATGTATCTTAAAATATCTTCAAGATATGCAAATGAAGATTAGAGATTCAATTCTATTAATTGTTTCAAGTGAAGAAGAGGATGGTACTTTAGGTGCTAAGGATCTTGTTAAACAATGTCCAGAATTGTTTACATCAATTGAATTAATTATTGTTGATGAACCAACGAACTTAGATATTGGAATAAGTGAAAAAGGTGAATTAAGGTTAAAGGTAGAGTGTCATGGAATTTCTGCACATGCAAGTTCTCCAAGTCTTGGTTTGAATGCAATTGAAGGAATATATTCTCTCATACAATGGATTAAAAAAGATTTACCCTTATCACCTGATGATACAAACCAAACGACATTTAATATTGGAACAATTAAAGGTGGAAATGCACCAAATGTTGTTGCTGATTATTGTGTTACAGAGATTGATATTAGAACTTCTTCATATATTTCAGTAGAGGATATTATGAATCATATTAAAACAATTATTGCTTCTATTGAATCTACAACACGGTTTAAATTTGTTCTTTATGAAGAAAGTAAAGAATTACCAGTTACAACTGATATCAATAATAAGTATGTTAAATTATTAACAAAATGCATTTATAAAGAAATGCCTAAAAGTTCAATCAAAAGAATGGCATATGCAACTGATGCTGCTGCGTTTGCCCACACTCAAAACAAACCACAAGTCATAATCTTTGGACCAGGCAACGAAGCAGTTATTCATAAACCAAATGAATATGTTATATTTCAATTTGTAGAAATTGCAACAAAAGCGTTAGTCTCATTTCTTTCTGAAATGAATGAAGAATAACTTAAAATGAGTCATTTAATAATAGTATTAAATTAAATTGAATAACAATGATTTTTATTTTTGATTTATTTTTCAACTAAACACATAACTTACATTAAAGAAATAAAACAGAAAAACTAAAAAAAAATTTTAACTTTAAAATACTAAGAAAAGGTTAAAATGTTAATCATTTTATCACTTCTCTGCTTAATTTTTATTATTTTAGTCATTCTTTATATCAAAAGTTCAACTCAGAAGAAGTTAGATCAACAACTTTATATATACCAACAATTAAAATTTGATGATGCACCTAAACGACCATGTGTTTCTAATAGTCATCAACCGTTATTTAAAGTATCGAATGTATCAAGAAAAACTTTTTCAATGAATGATTTTGAAACTTCTTTTATTTCACATCTTCCACCATCAAATGTACCTAAAATAAATGTTCCACGATCATCATATAAATTTACTGAAGATGAAATAAATTCAAAAAGGTCATTTGTAACAAACTCATATAATGCACCAACCCAAAATAACCCAACTGTAATTCAACCATTTAAACAAACAACAATGAATGTTAGTTCTTCTGGACTCTATTCTGTTGCACCATCTTCAATACCTCCATCCAATTTAAACCCACCTATTATAACAAAACCATTTCAAAATTTTCTTCCATCAAATGCACCAGTTCAACCAAACACACTGAAAAACCAAAACTTATGTAATAAAACACCTTTAACTCAATTCAATGTTATTACTTCTTCTACAACAACACCCAACTTCAGTTCTTCAACAACTTCTAAATCTTTATCATCTTCTTATTTTCAACAACCATTAGTACCACCTCAATCAAAAACACCTCCAGTGTATGAAAGAGTTAGAGTTCCAAGTCCAATTCAAAGACCTGAATTAGCTGCTTATTCTCCTGGAATACAACGAAACCAAATTCGACCTTCTCTCCAAAGACATTTTGCTGAACTTTCATTAAATACAAAGAAATTTGAAACACCAACTGGAAGGTCATTAAAAGGGAATGAAGAAGAATCTCCTCTAAAGAAGAAAAATCAACCAGAATCCGACATTTCATATTCAGAAGATCCATATATTGAAGTTGACAACTAATATCATTTTTAGAATTTAATATTTTTGTTATTTG